ACCGTACATGAGATTTTTACCTTATACTAGGTCAATTCTTTAGAATTCGTTGGATCCTTTCCGCGTTGGAGAATCCTCTTCAACAACTCTTTTTGTTGGTGAAGTAGTGCAACAACTGAAGTACTATTGCTAGTATAGTATAGATATAATAGTGTACTACAATTAACTTTTTTTTTATAAAGTTTGCTTTACATCAACCTTTTTAAAATGTCTATAATAACTAGGTATGCTTTATCGAGTAATTGGCCTTGTTGCTTACACTTTATTCTTCATATTTATCACTTTATATTGTGTTTGATTTTACATAGGACTCAGTAGATCTATATAAAGCAAATTATCCTAGTTAGTGATTAAAAAAAATTAGAAATTTTAAGTGGATCCAATGTAATAATTATTTAACAACTTGTTAATATTTTACAGTAATAAAACTCCACTCAATATTTCATAATCAGGTTTTAATGATATTTTTATCTACTTTATTTTCCTCACGTAAGACCAGTAACCTTTATTACACAATCTAAAGCAAATCTAAATGCAGAAGTAAATATATTTGAAGTGAGCAAAGTTATATATGCTTTTAAAATTGTTACAGTTCTAAACAAATTTAATATATGTCAAGGCAAAGTTATGATAATTTAAAGAAAAGAACTAGAACAAGTTGATCGCTAATGGCTTCCCACTTGCATTAAAATTTTAAGCATAGGTTTTTGTTTTGATATTCTCAGACAGCACAAAACTCCACGTCTAATAAAGGTTTACTAGTTCGAATCTAGTACGTACGCAAATCCCAAAAGAAATCAAAATTTATAAAAATACAAGCTTAGTACAACTTGTAATAATTTATATAAAGTACTATTTCTAATGAAAAAAAGTAAGTAATACTTTTAGTTTCATATTTATGTAACATTATGTAACGAACTTCTCTCAATCTTGAGCACCCTACCCTCCTTGGCAGAAGAATTAATCATATAAAACAGGATATCAAAAAAGAAAAGAAAAATCATATACGTAGATTTTGAGATTTTTTTTTTTTAGCAGACATGCACCAAGTTATATTCACAAATCAATTTGTTGAATTTTGTCGCAGTAATTTTCCTTAATGTAGAAAACAATTATGAATCCAAGTACGTTTTCCTTCTGGGAGAAATTTCACCCCCTCTACCACCCTAAATGAAAAAGGAAAAAGAAAAAAGATAGATCTAATTCTTCTGGTATTCAAATCTTACTAGTTCAACTAAGTCAAATTGGAATTGCATATGATTCATTTATCCTAATCTCAAGGCTCGAACTTAAATCTGTAATCTAGGAGTTGCTACCAATAAGTATTGTGGTAAAATGGCAAGTACTTTTTCATTCTTAACTAGAGATCTCGAATTTGAGTCGTGCGTATGAGTAATCTTTGTTAAGAAACACTTTACCTCTAATAAGAGACTTTTTGGTGTGAATCATATCCGATCCAATATGAATACCGAATACCTATTCGGGCAATAAAAGAAAGAAAGTTATAGCTTAAGGGAAAAGGAAGAAATTTTAGGGTGACATGAGAAAGAAAAAAGACGTAAAGCTGACAACTTTGGCTCCATGTAGTGATTGTTATTTCGAAGGAAAGGGAGAGAAGTAGGATTCCATGGGCTGGGCCCATCAACTTGAAAAGAAGCTTTTAGGTGGGCCCAAAAGCAAAGGCCGCTTTCTTCTGTGGGCCCTGATCACACGCCCAAAGGCCTGTTAAGTCCGACAAATATGGGCCCAATGAAACGAACATCTAAGAAGGCCTCTTCACCAATAGAAAAACTGTGCTCACTCTTCTCCTCCGCGAGTACATACTACCTTCCATTTATAGATTGATACTTTCTAAATACGAACCCTTTCATTTTGGGATGTTTTAAAATATTTCATACTCATTTCTTTATTTTTATTTCCAAATTTTAAGAATTTAAGTTGACATTTGGACTACAATTTTGAAAAAAAAAATAGTTTGTTTTTGCGAATTAGCTTTTTCAACCAAACGCCAATTAAGGGGAATTTTTAGTTTGTTTCAAATTTTTGAAAAACTACTCTAAAGCTCTGTGCAAAAATTTGAATTTCAATTTCTTGTAAAAAAATTTAACCAAATGTAAGAAAGAATATATTTCAGTTTTTCCACTGCTTGACATACTTTTCTTCCTTGGCATTTGGTTGGAATTTTACGTAAACTCGTTCTTAGAATTTTGGGCGAGCTGCTATCTAAACATATACCCATTTATACTTTGAAATGATATTCTTTCTTTTCTTTTTCTATGTCAATTTTAATATTTTTTATTATAACTAATATTAGATAAAATTAAACAAATATTTTTTAGACTTAATATTTACTCAAATATCATCACATTAATAAAAAGGAAGAAGTATCTTAATAAAAATCAAATCAATATTTATAATTTTATATTTAATCAAATACCATTACATAAACTAATATAAAAAAATTTACTATTAATTTATTGAAAGAAAAAAAGCCTTAAAAATACAAACCAAAAAAATAAAATAATAAAACAAGTGAAAGAGAGTGGGAAAGGTGAGTTAGGAGATGAAAAGTGGAGTCACATGGTTGGTGGGAAGTGGAACCTACATCTCCTTTTTTATTTTATTTTATTGTATTAGGTTCATATCACTATCATATCAATTTTTTTAAACTTTCAAGGAGAGAAGCAAGAAAAAACGATAGCTGTTAAATCCGTCAAAAAACAGTTTCACCTCGTACAATTAGTCGATATGCATACAAATCATCCGGAATATTAAAAAAATGACTTAAACAAATTCTTATGACATAAAAATTTCATCCAATACGTGACTTCACCCTTTGGTGGACGACGTTCGCAGCATCTATACGCACAAAGGTCGACCTCTTCTGAGCTAGAGCTAAAAAAGAAATCGGAGCTTAATTAACATCGAGAAAAACATTTGTAATGAACGAATCTCCGATAACACGAAATCAACACTATCTACCCGAGCCAAGGTACTTAGGGCCCGTCAAAGCACGGTGTTACAGGGCAATCTTGATTATTTACATTTATATTATATTTTTTTGCCTCGAATTATATGTATATTCAGTTATTCTAGTTGAGAACTTTTAAATTGTGAATTCGCTTTTGTTCAATGTGATTTGGACAAGATAGGGTGGCAACATTCTCCTTTTCTTTCTCTCTGCGGTTTTGTCTTAAACCAACATCATATTTGTGGTTAAATATTGGGTTTCAATTTGGTAAAAACAAAAAATTATACTCCATTAAATATATAAGGTCAAAAAAAATTTGTGTATATATATTGGATATTAAATTTGTTTATTTCTTGGTTAAAATTTTACTTTCACCGCTGGTCTAGCGTCAATCTCCAAATTTTAGTGTGATTAATAAGAATAAACTAGTAGTTTGTACATTTAAACTAGTTGCAACCTTTCAAGTACAAAGATCAAATGTCTAATCTTTCTGCACATAAAGAGAGAGAAAAAATCAAAAAGCAAATAAATAAATGGGGCCTACAATGTCAGTAGTAGAATAAACATTGTCTCTCATCTTTTTGGATTATTTTGAAGAGGTGGGTCCCAAGCTTCAATAGAGTCGTCAGCCATGTTTGACTCTCTGTCCATTGGACTGTTGATCTTATCTTAATGTGTTCAGATCCCTATTTATGTGAAATATGAATTTATATTTCCATTTTACTTTGTCTTTGTGGTTTCAAATGGAAAATGTATTTACACTTTGAGTGACTGGCTCATCTTCAAGCTGCTTCACAAGCCGCGCCACAATTAACGCTTTAAGCCGATAATCGTTCTTGCTTATATGATACGTAGTTGTGCATATATTCGTTTTTCTTTTCTTTTTAACGATAGTAGCAAATGAATAGTTTGCATGCACTTATTTGCGGAAATAAAAAATAGTCAGATTTACAACTTATAATTGAAAAATAGTCATAGTTTCAAAGTAATTGAAATTTAGCTATTTTTTTTATGTAAAGATAAAATCTGAACAAAAACACCCTTAAAAATCAGTAAATATTCCAGCATAATATGCCGGAGTTCGAATTTTTTACATATGAGCTTCTAAGATAATGTGTTGAATTTCATAATGTGTTGAAGTTTTAACATAATATGCGGGAGGTTTATATGCATGAGCTCCATAATCCAACATATTATGTTGGAACTTTTCGTATGCTGGAGTTCCAATATAATATGCTGGAAGTTTATCTGCATGAGCTCTATAGTCTTGCATATTATGCTGAAACTTTTCGTGTTTCAGCAAAATAATAGCTATTTTTCGATGATTTTACAAACAATGACTATTTTTCAATTATCAGTCTAAAAATTAGCTAACACGTGCCATAGGTTCAACTATTACCGTTTTAGCATTGAACCCATTATATTTTTAAAGTTAGGGGGTCATATCTACTATTTTTGTAATTTTAATGTATTTTTACATGTAAATTTTTGTTATACGTCGAAAGTTATAGATACAATTGAACTCGTGGGTAACACACTACATCTGCCCTTGGTTATTTGCATAAAATATTAATATCAAACCATATTAAGTTACTATGATTAATTATTTGCTTTTGTATTAGTTAACTAGGATTTAGTAATAACCATGTTTCTAAAAACATATAGAGTATCATGTACTTATTAGGTGTAAATATCTAATGCCAATAATCTTTTACCCTATTTCTTTGAATATCTCGAGCCGAGGGTCTTTCGAAAACAACCTCTACCTCCTCAAGGTAATGGTAAGGTATGCATACACACTACCCTCCCTAGACCTCACTTGCGGGATTTCACTTGTTTTATTGGTGGTGGTGGTGGTGGTAAGGATTAAGGACTGTGTGTGTACATCCTACTTAACCATTTAGTACAACCTGCTTATTCTTGATCTACTAATACCTCCTTTTTAAATGAAACATGCATAAAAATACTATCAAATATTAATAATAAAAACAATAACTTGTAGCCTCAGCAACCAAGTCTAGAACTACAGTTTCCCAGTATAAATGTCCCTGCAATATCCGTAAAGTTTTAGTTACATTTCATTTTCAAAAACTAGGGGACCATTTTACAGAAAGAGGGAGATGAGAAATGCTTTTATGAGTAAACTGACAGTAGCTACCACCATTGACTTAGCCACGTACAAGACAACACTTATGGCTAAAAGTTGAAAACCATTTCCCATATGCCCACTTCTTTGGACCATTGAACTAGTCTCTAGCACTCAATACAGACTTGTCTGGTTTCTTCTTGGAATATATTCTTGTGTAAGTTGTTGAAATCACAACATTCCAATCTAATATCTTCTTCATTTTTACTCTCTTCCTTATCCATCTATTTGAACACCAAACAACCAATTCAGATATTCACGGCAAAGAATTATCGGATAAGCCTAGAGGTATCAATGAGTAGTTATCATCTATGTTGCTAGGACTTTTCAAAAATGTTGTCGGGTGCGTGCCGGATCCTCCAAAAGTGGTACATTTTTGGAGGATCCCACTTTTGGAGGATCCGACACGGGTGCGACAACAATTTTGGAGAGTCCGAGCAACATAGGTTATCATAATCAATCACATTTTTTTTTTACAAATACAAATGAAATTTTTTTCAACTTTCAATATTTCATGGTCACTTGCACTGTTCTAAACATACATAGGCTTTTGTTAAAGCGACCACGACAAATTCTCAGTGATTACTAGGACGTTTATAAGCAAACAAAGCTTTCTCAAAAGCCTTTGATATGTGCATGCACAACAAGCAGTTCCACGATTTTACGCCAATGTCAATACACCGTTCAGGCCAAAGGCAACAGCCAGTGGCGGAGCCACATGTATTCAACGGGTGTCAACCGATACTCCTTTGTCGAACAATTACAGTGTGTAGCTAGATAAAATAAATTATATATATATACTACATGTTGATGCCTCTTGGCTTCTTCGTAGGTCTACTTCTTTATATTTTGACTCTAACTTAGTGAAAATCCTGCCTCCGCCACTGGCAACAGGGGCAATCTTTGTATGTGCAACTGCCTACAAGACCACTGGCATGGGTCTAAAACATACATGTTTTTCCTAAAAGAGACTAACGGTTAAGTCTGCTATGATACTCACCCGCCTCCAAACATGTCAGTTGTCGTTCAGGAGACCAGTGGTCACAACCCCTGTACTCCTAACTATTTGTTCTCCTTATGTTGTTTTGTATAAGAGAAAAAACTTATATAGATATAAAATAATATTCCTGCTAGTTATTTATGGATTGCATGAGCTTCAAGGGACTTGATGCAAAATAGTACTTAAAACATTAAGCTGCTGATGCAAATATATACACGTATGGAAGTATTTACCAAAAGAAATCAATCCTTGTTAGTATAATTTTGCTATAAAAGTTGACAAAAGAAAACAACCAAATCTGGCAACAATGATGGACCCAATTAGTCTTAATAAAACATACTCTAAAGGTGCTAGAAAAGACTTTGCTCTCTCTTACTCCAGACACAAGGTATCCACAAAAGAACTCGCTCATGACCATCAGATCAGATTGATGTAGACTTGTTGTCTATACAAAAAAAAAAATATGAAGAGCCAATACCCCTATATTCAATTCAATGACAACTTGCAAAATTTAAAGATGATTATTGATTAACCCTGTCTCCTAGGCATAAATGATGATGGTCCAATCAAGAGTGAATAGGGGCTTTAAAAGGTACTTCACATATACCGGCTGCTTTCTGGGGTTGAATATAGTAGTCTTTATTATGGACTAAAATTAAGAAAATGGGACCAGCACATATTCATATTTTCCAACGCTAAGGTTAATATCATAGGTGTGGAGATGGTTACCTGTTCCTTGAGGCTAACAGAAGTTTTCTCCATGAAACAGATGGCATAGTGACTAGAAACTGGGATTGAAGATGAAAGCTCCATTGTTAGAAATCTGATATGCAAGACCTAGTGACCGTGTGGGGCAGCACAACAGGAATGATGGATTTTCTTGATAGGACTTCCCAGCTACCTCATTTATGTTACGATTCATGTATACAAGATATTCTGGAGAGGATCAATCCATGTAAGATACTTGGAGCTTGGATATTAAGTGACATTGACAATCTGCATCCAGTTCTGCAAAATGTAAAATCCTTCTAACTACCAAAAACACGAGGGGAAATGAAAAAACATCTCCTTCCATGTAGCCGCAGCCTGCATGTGGCTTTGTTATATTTGTAGCTGTGACTGGTCTTACGACATGCATTCTGCGCCCTTTCTTTATCTGTGGATGGGAAATTCCTGTCAGAATTTCTCAGTTTCTGTCTACACTAATAGCTATGATTAGTCTTTACCCGATCATTCGATACCACACAAACAACTATATCACAGTTTATCTTTACCCGATTATTCGATACCACACAAGCAACTAAATCACAGTTTATCAAGTCATAGGCATTATTTAAACTTTGAAAGGCCAAAATACTGGACTTGAATTAGATAGCAGCATCGATACCAAATCAATGTTAAGAAATTAAATAGAGGTTAGTCTATTCATAGAACAGAGAATCTATAATCATACTCTTTAAACAACAGGAATCAATGTTTAGCTAAAGCAACATAAATTATAGAAGTCCCACAGCGTAGGATGATCGACAAAAGGAACGTTAACTCGGCATATCTTTTGAGCAGTATCGGAATCCAGTTTTAGCATACTAAAGCAGCACTTAAAAGAAGTGCTCGATCAGGGTCAGAACTCACACCCCCACTTCAAATGGCTCCCACCAGCATTTGTTGGAGAACTAGCCTTTATATCGTCTTTATAAGATTACTAAAGGATTATCTTTTTCAAGGTGTAGTAATGGTGAATGGTACAAAAACTTTCTCAACATCCCAAGGTAAAGGAAAACAAGTTTATCATAAGTACAGACCAAACAAGAGAGCAGACAGATGCTTGATTTAATTTTTTTCCCCTTCTTATGTTTTGGTTGCAAGATTGCCTTTAGTCTGTGTCCTCCCATTCCTAAAGGTGGCTAGTGGGAGATTTACTATTTGTATCGACAAACTGCTCCTAGTACACCATTCACTCATAAAACCATAACAGGACCAATATCATTTTAATCAAACAATTCATTCTTAAATGCAATTGTAAAAGTTTCATCCACACAATAGTCTTGGACTTCAACATAGATTGATGCAAGAGCACCTTCAAACTCTCATCATTTCTACCTATAAGAAGAAATTTGAGATTAAGATACTTGCCACTTAGCACCTTACTTTACTAGCCCTGATTTTAATTTTCCTAACATTTAATGGTCAAATACACTAATCTGCAAATTAAACCAAGCGTACAATTTGAACTGATTGTCAGTGCAACCTTTACATCATTGTCCTCCCCTTGATGGCTTACGGAAGCCTGAAAATTCTAGTGAAAAACTGTTCCTAGTACAAACATTCACTCATCGAATCACACTGGAGAAACACATCAATTCAGTGCATAAATGTGATGCACCCAAAATAATAGCAGTAGAATTTGACATCCTTTGATGTGTTAACAACTAAGATATCTAGCTAAGCAGAACTTGAGATTATGAGTGAGTTTGGCACGACGAAAGACATTTTCCAGAAAATGACTAATTAGTTTTTCAGAAACTATTTTTCTAGAAAATGTTTTCTGGTGTCGGCTGGAGAGTGGATAGTATATTCCACATAATGCTCTTGAAGTCAGAGATGGACATTTTCACAACTTTTTGGTAGTTGTGGAAGACACCTTCGCCATGCAATTGTACACGCTCAATCAGCTTAAGCTACTTAAACCAAAGAAGCAGCATACCCAAAATATCCACAATGAAGCGTAATAACAGGAGAAACTATTGAGCAGGGCAGGAAGGAGTAATGGGTCAGAGAACCTCTTTAAGCCCTTAAACAAGCTTTAGCGTCTCATTAATCACTCTGTAGCAAGGACAAATAATTAATTTGTCCAAATTTAACAGCGCTTGCCGGAACCTCTAGAGGCTTGTCGATGTTGACTCCAGCTCCTTCATTGAACAACGAGTAACATGAACTATCTATAAGTACTTATTCTACGAAGGCACGTAACAATAGAAGCAATACGCTGCAGAAAGCACTTCTACAGACAACAATTTTGTATGACATTCACAAGCAGAAAGGAATAACTTAAGGCCAAACCAGCAGCATTTTAATGACAGTACAATGATTAGTCAACAACATCCAGTTACAAATAGAATTTTTTACTAGCTCAAGATTAATATTGTAGGTGAGAAAATGTTTAAACTGTTCATTATATCCAACAAGTATTAACATACAGAATTCTTCTGATTGTAGCAGCTTTGATGAAGCAAGTGGCCTTACACGTATACCTAATCTCTAGCGTCATCCTATTGACAACTTCACAATCAGGAGACAGCAAATTCCAACTTCCAAGCATGCACATGATTAAGAATTTGAACGTCTTACCTATACCTAGTTCCGCCTCTATTGCAGGTTTCCTTTGCTTGGCATCACCCATTGTACACCGAACCGATTCAGGACCAGCCACCCGCAAATGCGCTGCCATCCAGCAATGTAGCAGAAGATGATCTACACGAAGACCAAACATCTACACATGAAGCACCCACAAATATACAATCCTCATCTTCCTCAGATTCTCTGCTATCAATATCTCTTCCTTGGTTACCAGCCAATCAAAGAAACACACCTTCCTGGGTGCCCTGGGGATCTAGATTGATAAATGCAGGAAAGTGAACAGCTCTCTCACTAGAACACTCTGGAAGTATGATTAACGGTGAACAAGTTAATCCTCTTCACTCCTTATGCTGGCAAAAAATTAGGAAGACCTGAACCTGAGTTTAAAAGGATTGCGATCTTGAAGGATATAAACACAAACTCACACATATGAACTTGAATCCTTATACAAGGGTGAAGAAAGCCAAACCATGTAGCTGAATAGGTATATTTTCCATTAAGTAATTTCAACTAGTCATATATCCATTTTCTGTTATCCTGTACAGGCATGGATAAGTGGGTAGAGATTGGCAATTGGTGTCACCGGAACTACCAGGAGTCTAGAGAATTTAAATTGTATATAAAGAAAAGCGCAAGTCATCAGATTAACTAAAAGGACAACCCGGTGCACTAAGCTCCTGCTATGCGCGAGGTCCCGGGAAGGGCCGGACCACAAGTAAGGGTGGGCATCGGTCGGTTCGGTTCGGTTATGAATATTATCGGTTTAGCATATCGGTTATCGGTTTACAAATTTGATAAACCGATAAGATATCGGTTATCGGGTATCGGTTATCGATCATTATCGGTTTACCCGATAAGATAACTCAATCTAGAGTTAAGCAAAAAAGAAAAGACAATTCACTGGAGTTAAGCAAAAAAGAGAAGAATTCACATATAGTATACTAAAGACTTACGCTAGGAGTAACTAGTAAGGTGTATGAAGAATGAAGATGAAGCAACTGAAGAGTGGGGTTGAGAAAGAATAGGAGAGAATGAACTGAAGCCCTAGCATTTGTATATACTTAAGGATAAAGTCGTAATTTTATTAATTCTTATTGGGTTATCGGTTAACCAATTAACAAAATTGGCAAACCGAGGCCCGAACCGATAACCCAATAGTAAAAAAATTCTAAACCGTTACCGAACCGTTAACCCAATAACCCGATACCGATAATCCAATAAACAATTAACGATTCGGGTTATCGGTTTTACCCGATATATGCCCAGCCCTAACCACAAGGGTCTATTGCACGCAGTCTTACCTTGCATTTCTGCAAGAGGCTGTTTCCAAGGCTCTAACTCGTGACCTCCTAGTCACATGACAACAACTTTACAAGTTACGCCAAGGCTCCCCTTCAAGTCGTCAGATTAACTGAGTGAAAGAATGCTAATATTATCTTTAATTAAATCTGCTGTCCTAAGAAAGCTTTCAAGCTGCTATCACTGCCAACCCAACTGAAGCCTGTGCCTTTTGATATTCCTCTAATCTTCATAATCTCCCTAAGTTCACTTACACCATCCCATCTCCCAGCATCTGCCAGAGCATTAGATAGCGCAACATATGCCCCTGGACGACTACCGCTACTCAGCTTGAAAAGTTCATTGGCAGCTAAATTAGCCAATTCCACATCTCCATGCAGTCTACAAGAACTGAGTAAAGCTGCCCAAACATCAGAATCTGGCCTTTCAGTCATATTAATTACAAACTCTAATGCTTGATTTAAACTCCCTGAGCGGCCCAAGATATCAACCATGCAAGCATAATGCTCCATCCTCGGCTTCATCGAGTAATCTCTCTCCATGCTTTCAAAAATCTCTCTTCCTTTAGCAATTAGCCCAGAATGCGCACAAGCAGAGAGAGCACTTAGAAATGTAACATAGTTTGGAACAATGAGATGATCTATTTGCATTACACTAAATAGTTCAAGTGCTTCATTAGGATACCCATTTTTCCCATATCCATCAATCATGGAAGTCCACGAGAAGACATTCTTCTCAGGCATGTAGTTAAAGACTCTTCTTGCATCCTCAACCAACCCACACTTCGAATACATGTCAATTAAAGCACTTCCAATTTTTACATGCTCAATTAACTCAGTCTTCATGAGCTGCCCTTGAACTTGTTGACCATTTTCAAATGCTGCAAGAGCAGAACAAGCCCCAATAATGCTTGCAAAAGTAGAAATATTCGGCCTAAAACCCAAACGTTGCATGTCAATGTAAACCTCAATCGCCTTCTTAGCATTTTCAACTTGTTTGCTATAACCTTCAATCATTGCATTGAACACCACAACATCTTTCTCTGTCGTTCTACTAAACACATCTTCAGCATCCTCAATATAACCCTGATTCATGTACCCTGTTATCAACGATGTCGAGCAAACTACATCCCTTTCCAACATCAAATCAAACACTCTCCTTGCATAGTCCACCCTCCCGCTCTTCACATACGAGTCAACTAATGCCGTATAAAGCACATCATCATCCTCAACGATGCATTTAAATATCCGGGCATGAACCTGTTTTCCAATACAAGGAGAATATAACTCAGCATAGCTACTAGTGGAGCCCTTCAAGATCATTGATAATGTATACGCATCTGGAGTTTCACCAGAAAGACACAGCTTTCTAACCATATCAAAAGATTCTAAGACAAACCCATGTTTTACATAACCTGAAATCATGTAATTATAAGCAGAGAGAGTCGGTTGACGCATTTCGTCGAACATTTGGCGCGCATAGAAAAGGCAAGAAGACTTTAAATGAAGTATGATAAGCTTGATGCATATATTGGTATTTGGTTTGTAACCAGTTTTGAGAATGTATGAATGGATCTTTTGGCCGTGTATAGGAGTGTCGGAATTGATATAGTGCTGGAGAACTGACGGCAGTGAAGAAAATTTTGGTGGCCATAAAAGGTGGTTAATTTCAGTTTCTTTTAACGGGACCAAAGATTTGAATTTGGGTATTTTGGCATTTATCATCTTTAGTTCAAGACTGTCTTGAAAGAGAGGCGCTAAACTTTGTATTACTACTACTACTATTTTTGCACTATGGTTTCTTTATTGGGAAAATGGTCGAGTTGTACCTTACGGATTGAATGAGACACAAAAACAATATCACCATCTATCACAAACTAAAAGGATGTTTTAGAACGAGAACATCAATTCCACAAAATGTGACATAAATTATAGGGAGTTTTACCTTCTTATACGATATTTGAAACTTATTTACTAAAATTGTCTTAGTTTTATATATTACCAACTCTAAACAATGATTACTTACAAATTATATGCAATCCATTATTAGTGCCTTGAATTAGGGGATTTAGTTACATCATTTTCCTTTTTTCTCTCTGCTCCTCTTTCCTCACTCCCGCATCTCTCGTCAATTTTTCTTTCTTTCTTCATCTTTCTCTCTCACTTTCTTTCTCTCTCAATAAGGTAAGCCTAAAAGTTATCTTCTACCAATCAACCTATTGAAGTAACCTCCAGGTCGTAGGAATTGAAGATTCGAACACTAATCTATCATAAAACTTTAAATTCGAATTTGGATTTTCAAAAATCATTATTTGTTTGGATTGAGTATTGTTGCAAATAATTGGAAATATTGTTTGTAGTTTATATCTCAATTTTGAGGGTGTTTTGGTAAAGATTGGACTTAATTTTGGCTGAATTTCAGATTGAAACTCGTAGTAAGAAAACATGACATACAATATAAAAGAAGAAGAAGGAGAAGAAGACATGACATACAATATACTTACGAAATTGTATAAAGTTGTAGTAAAATTGTAGGTAAATTATATTTTGTTGTAGTTATATATATATATATTGTCACGACCCGGATTTCCCACCGTCGGGATCGTGATGGCGCCTACTTGTGAAAGTTAGGCAAGGCAACTACTATGACTTTAACACATTAGCAATTAACTCAAACAGAAATAAGTAGTAATTAAAATTGAACAGATATAAAATGCGGAAGTGTTATAATAGTTCAAAATACTTCATTACATGTCTACCCCAATGATCTGGTGTCACAATTTCACGAACATCTACGAATTTCTACAAATATTGGTTTAGAAAGAAAAAATACAACTGTTCTTGGAATGAAAAGAGACAGTATATCTAAAGCATAAGGAAGGGGACTCTGGAGTTTGCGAACGGCGACAGATCTACCTCGGGTCTCCTGTGGACTGAAGGCAGCAACCCACGATCTACTCACGAGGTCCAACATTGAAATCTGCACAGAAAGTGCAGAGTATAATACTAGTACAACCGACCCCATGTACTGGTAAATGTCGAGCCTAACTTCATTGAAGTAGTGACGAGGCTATGACACAACAATCATATAAACCTGTGTAGTTAACTCATATAAGAGAAGCAATAATAACATGAATTTAACAGATAAAGACGAAAAATGGGGAACATATTGAGGGGGATATCAGGTTATGACAATAATAAAGTAAAGCAACAAAGTAAATATCAAACTTGAATCAGCGGAAATGATAACACAGTAACAAGTGCACAACATCACTCTTCGTGCTTTTACTCTCGTCCTCACCATAGAAATCAACAGAAACAGCACGACATCATCCTTCGTTTTTTTACTCTCTCATAATCATGACACGACATCACCCTTCGTGTTTTTAATCTCAATAATGTGCCACGACATCACTCTTCGTGCTTTTACTCTCAATAATGTGGCACGACATCACCCTTCGTGCTTTAACACTCACAGAATATGGCACGGCATCACCCTTCATGCATTAACACTCTCTCACAATATCGTGCACGGCATCACCGTTCGTGTTTTATACTCTTACTCAACCAACAACATAAATAATAATATCCTGGCAAGGGAATCAATAATAGAAACAATAACATTCCGGCAAGGGAATCAACATTAGAAACAATAACATCCCGGCATGGGAATCAACTATAACCAATCTTGTTTCAACAGTTAACTTCACAAAATAAGTCCTAACTTGAGTCGACACTCAACAATGGTCAATTACCAAGAAAATGTCATAAGTCTTATTCAACATGTATAATCATCAATTTAAGCATGAATAATACATAATAAGAATCACAACGATCACAATTTAAAACTCGCTTGCATGCTCGACACCAATGTACAGATACTCGTCACCACACCTATACGTCGTACTCTACACTAACACGTAGCAATTAAGACACAACACCTATTCCCTTAAGCTAAGGTTATGACAAACACTTACCTCGATTCTACGGCCAAAAGTCAAGCCTCAATTACCGCTTTTCCTTTGATTTACACTTCCAAACTGCTCGACCCTATGCATAATTAACTAATTAATATCAATTATTGCTAAAGGAATCAACTACAACATATAGATTTAGTTTTTCCAAACTTTTTTCCAAAAAGTCAAAAATCGACCCCGGACCGCTTGGTCAAAACTCGAGGTTCGAATCAAAACTCGTTCAGTCATTCATCCACGAGCCCAAATATGTAATTAGTTTTGGTTTCCGACTCCAAATCGAGGTCCAAATCCCCAATTCTCCTAAAATCCCTAATTTATACCCTTAAAGAACAAGATTTAGGCCTAGAAATCTAATGGGTGTTGATGGAAAATGAAAGAAATGAGTTTAAGAACATAAACCTATGATTTGGTGATGAAATACCTCTTCAAAAATCGCCCAAGGTCGAGTTCTATGGAAGAAAATATGAAATTATGGTATTTTCCCATTTCTGCTTCTGTTTTAAGATTGCTGGACAGGTCTTCTTCGCGTTCGCGAGAAGCTTGTCACATTTGTGAAGCATTGGCCAGAAGAGCCTTCGCGTTCGCGAGATACTGTACACACTCGCGAAGGTACACTCCCCGGCCCGACCTTCGCGTTCGTGAGCCATTCGTCGCGTTCGCGTAGAGTATTTCCCCTCCCCCAAGTCCCTACCAAAATGGCCTTCGCGTTTGCGAAGGGTAATGCCCCCAACACTGCGCGTTCGCGACCTGTGCTTCGCATTTGTGTAGAAGGTAATTTCCCTCAGACTAACTTACTCTTCGTGTTCGCGAAGCTCGCGAACGCGAAGAAGGACATACCAGATGACATCGGAAGTTCAAAACACCAGAAATTTCAAGTCTAAAACATCCTTAGCCTATCCAAAACACACCCGACCCTCGGGGCTCCAAACCAAACATGCACGCAAGTCTAATAATATCATACGGACTTGCTCGTGCGATCAAATTGCCAAAATAACACCTAGAACTACGGATTTAGCATCAAAATCAATGAAAATCTCAAGAACTTTTAAAGTTTCCATTTTCACAATCGAGGGTCCGAATCACGTCATATGAATTTCGTTTCTTACCAAATTTTACAGGCATAACTTAAATACCATATTAAACCTGTATCGGGCTCTGAAACCAAAATATGAGCCCGATACCATCAAATTCAAACATCGTTAAATTTCCAAAAACTCTTATATTTTCAGTTAAACAATTTTCTTCAAAAATTCATTTCTCGTGCTAGGGACCTCGGAATTCAATTTCGGGCATATGCCTAAGTCCCATATTTTCTACGGACCTTTTGGGACTATCGGATCACGAGTCCGGGTCCGCTTACTCAAAATGTTGACCGGAGTCAACTTAATTCAATTTTAAAGGCAAAATTTAACATTTTTCTCAAATTTTCACATAAAAGATTTCCGAAAACATGCCCGGACTACGAACGCAAATCAAGGAGAAGAAAAATGAGGTTTTTAAGGCCTTAAAACCTGGATTCGGATTCTAAGACACAAGATTATCCTTTGGATCATCACATTCTCCACATCTAAAATGGCGTCCGTCCTCGAACGAACATAGAAAAATACCTGAGTCGGTGAACAGATGGGGATATCAGCTACGCATATTGGACTCAGACTCCCAGGTAGCCTCCACAGGCTGACCTCTCCATTGCACACGAACCGAAGGATAACTCTTTAATCTCAATTGACGAACCTACCGGTCTAAAATAACCACTGATTCCTCCTCATAGGTCAAATCCTTGTCCAACTGGATAGTGCCGAAGTCTAACATATGGGATGGATTGTCGTGATACTTTCGAAGAATGGAAATATGAAACACTGGATGCACAGCTGATAAACTTGGTGGAAATGCAAGCTCATAAGCCACTTCTCCAACTCTCCTAAGAATCTCAAAAGGCCCAATGAACCTAGGGCTTAACTTGCCCTTCATTCCAAATCTCATCATGCCCTTCATGGGCGACACCCAAAGCAACACTCGCTCTCCGACCATGAATGCCACATCACGAACCTTACGGTCGACATAACTCTTTTGCCTGGACTGAGCTGTACGAAGTCTATCCTGAATAATCTTAACCTTATCCAAGGCGTCTTGTACTAAATCTGTACCTAACAACCGAGCCTCTCCCGGCTCAAACCATCCAACTGGTGATCGGTAGCATCTACCATATAATGCCTCATAGGGAGTCATCTGGATGCTTGACTAATAACTGTTGTTGTAGACAAACTCTGCTAATGGCAAGAACTGATCCCACGAACCTCCAAAGTCAATAACACATACGCGAAGCATATCCTCAAAAATTCAAATAGTACGCTCTGACTGTCCGTCCGTCTGAGGATGAAATGTTGTGCTCAACTCGACCCTTGTACCCTACTCACACTTTACTACTAATGCGAGGTAAACTGCATACCTCGGTCAGAAATAATAGACACGGGCACACCATGACGACCAACAATCTCCCGGATGTAGATCTCAACTAACCGCTCTAAAGAATAGGAAACTGCCACAGGAATGAAATGCGCTGACTTGGTCAGCCTATCCACAATAACCAATACTGCATCAAACTTCCTCTGAGTCAGTGGGAGTCCAACAATGAAATCCATAGTGATACACTCCCACTTCCACTCAGGAATCTCAATCTTCTGAAGCAAACCACCAGGTCTCTGATGCTCGTACTTTACCTACTGACAATTCAAACACCGAGCTACATATGCAACAATATCCTTCTTCATCCTCCTCCACCAATAATGTTTCTGCAAGTCCTGATACATCCTAGTGGCGCCCGGGTGAATGGAGTACCGGGAACTATGGGCCTTCTCTAGAATCAACTCACGAAGTCCAT